CTCCCGGCAGAGTGGCCCCGTGGAGAATGAGAGATGGCTAGTGTGTGTGATTGTCCTGCTGGTGACACGGGTCTGAAGCAGGACCAGTTGAAATGACTGCACTTGAGGGCTAGATGTAAGAATGAGTGAGCCCGTGCCTTTCCCCTGCAGTTCTTGTTTGACTCTGTCATCTGTGGGGTCACTTCTGAATTTAGACCACAAGCTCTTCGGGCCAGGTTCTGTAACTTGCCTCATTTCTGTGAAGCACCTACCATGTTGGTGGCTGCCCCATAATAATAAAACATGGACACATCTGAGAAGCCAAAGAGATATCACCTTTATCACAAGCATAAGGTTCACCTTTGCTCATCTCCACCTCTTTAAAATCATGTCTAAGGGAATAAAAGCATGATAAATGCCCCCCAATGGGGTTATACACCATTTGCAAAATATTCTGTTCTAAAGTTCTTGCATGTGGCTCTATTCTGCAGCCGCTCTTACAGGGATGTTCAGAGCTGTGCTAACTTACCCACTGACTCAAACTGTTTTGGGTTGGGAAATTACAGAGGTTTTCCCCACTTGCTGCCCATCCATCTATTTTGTGCCCTACTCCCTGAGACAGCGAATCACATCAATATCCTTTCTACCAGGGAGAACTGGGCTGGTCCCAGCAGTGCATTGAGTGGGGCTTCCTTCTGGAACCGAGTGTGCTGCCTCAGCAGCAAATGTGAGGTTTAAAGATATACATTAGAACAGGAAGTATATAAGCACATCTCATACTTCGGCATTTCTGACGCCTGCCTGACATTCACTTTCTCCAGGAGCCATCCAAGAATCCCTCAGCAAATGCTTAGAGCAAGGGGAAAAAACACCAGGGTCTATGTCAGAAGTCCTGTCTTCATTTGAAAACCTGCAACTTGAACCATCCCATCAGTCAGTTATGAAACCCAGTTCGCATTCAGGAGAGTCAGCTTGCAAAAGCGGTCACCTGCGGTGTGTATGTTATGGCATTGGGAGCTTTTCCTCTTGTGTCATTTCTCGCTACCAACTAGCATTCTTGCTTCTGTTACTGGAGAAGTTACAGGTAAGAACTATACCCTATGTTTAAATAGCTGGATACTTGGCCCTGTAACTTCTAACACTTTTTCTTTCTTGCAGATTCCCAAAAGTCAGTGCTACATTTTTGATCCTTTATTTTCCGAATTGGAAATTAGTGTTCTGAATGACCTCGGTGTAACAGTTGTCCTGGAGAATGAGGTAAGGTGGATTAAGGCTGGGATCTCTAAAACGTAAGTAACATGTTTATTCGATGAACAGAAAAAAGGAGCACTCCAGAGAAATCAAAGCAGTCCTTCCTACATGTGCGTTTGATGTGGACATATTGCAGGGTTTTTGCCTTTCACTTAATTCTAGTCTGGTCAATTGAAAGTTTCTCCTGTAGCCCTTTTATGGTTCTGACAGAGGGTCTAAGTGTCACATTTTAGTTATGTAGCACTTCTGTGAAAGTGGCATGTTTTCCATGGCATCAACTTTTCCCTGGGCGATGGGTTGGAACGTTCAGCCAGCCAAGAAATCTGCTGGGCTTAAACAATGTTGGGCACTTTTAAATGGCCTTTGAGTGCCACTGAGTGGGCCCTAGTGCTTACAGAACCAGGGAAGCTGATTGAGTAATCTTAAGGAATGCTGTTTATCTGCAGGAGGGAAAACACCACATTCATGAATTCACCATCTTTTATATGATCCACTGTGGAAAAGCTTTGTATAACAATCTGCTCTGGAGTAACTGGTCTGTAGATGCGCTGTCCAAAATGATCATTATTGGGAACAGTTTTAAAGGGATTGAGGAAAGGTAGGTACCCAAAAACGATTAATGTCCTCACATCTGAGGCAGAATTTCATTCACTAACTCTCACTACAGCAGTAATCCTTTATGCTTACCTGCTTCTGTGATATCTTCACAAACACTGGAGGAGCTGTCTTTTCATGCAGAACTTAATCATCAGCGCAAATGTCTTCTGCACTTTAAGGTTTTAAGGTTCAATCTATCAACAAAGCTTTGACTTGCTGCCAAGTCTGTGGCCTTTCAGATG